TATCTGCTGGTAATTTAAGGGCATGAGATGGTGAAAGGCAAGAACTTCTACCAAAGAAGAATGTAGTCTGTATTCATGTGGTTTTCTCTCTGCTTCTGGTCTCATTCTCTCAGCTTATATGCCAGCCCATAACGCAAATCACCCCATTCTAATGACATTATCACACCCAAAGCCCTCACTCTGGAACACCATGAAGAAATTCAGTTTTCACTTAATATCTTTACAATACAATCAAGTCCCAACATAGGGTTTTCTGGAGGACATCCAATCACAACTCCCTAAGACCAAATTCTAAAACATAAAACTTTGATGGACAAACCGTAACAAATACCTATCTGTTGAACACAGATATGGCCCTGCTTCTCTGGTTTAGCCCTGAATAATTTAGGGGGAAAAGTTTTGGCATCTAGGGAGAGTACTAGCTATAGAAGAAGAAAGTCACTAAGTAGGACCTCAGCTAGACAACTGCAGGCAAGAGTCCTCCACTGATGCAGTTCTTAGAGGTCTGTCCTCAGTGTGCAAAGTGGGGTGCAGAGTGGTTCTGGAGGGATAGAGGATATCTAGAATCATCAGGTTTCTGAATAATACTTCACAATAGATGTAATGAAGCAACATATTTTAAGAATACTTAACGAAAGAATAACTTGACCAGGGATTTTCTAACCAGTCAAACTGATCTTCAAATATGAAGTCTATAGGCAAATAAGATGAATATATAATGATTCAGGGAATGTTATGTTCATCTTAAACTAGAAAATTAGCTGTCACTTTAAAGTTCCAGATGAACAAGGAGAGAAGAGAGAAGAGATTACCAACCAACTTCATCATTAACTGATAGTAAGAAAGTAACATAGAGTATCCTCCCACCAACTCCCTGCAAATAGCAGGGGGCATTGAGGTATTATATGAAGATATTAGTATAATGGTAACTGATAGAGCAAAAATACCACCTTTCCTAAATAACAAAAGACACATTCCCCATAATGCTATGTAGTGAAAGAAAACCAGGAAGATACAAGGGACTTTGAAAAGTTCACAGAGGGTTGGTCCTATAGTATGGCAGTTAAGCTCTGTGCATAGGGAGCTGGATCCCACATGGCCAACTGTGGTTCAAATGCAATTCTAGCAGCTTGAAAAACAAGGAAGGCTTGTGCTTATGCATGCCCTGAACCCTGATGGGATGGACAAATGGAGGAAAGAGGATTGAGGTATGATCGTGTCCCACTGGGAGGTGCTTCCTCTCTCTGGCAAGTACATGTGCTCTCTGGCAATTAAAAAAAAGTTCATAAAAATAGAATTAAAGAGGGATAACCTTATAATATTGTCAATTGGACCTGTGTAAAATGTACACATGGAATTTTCACTTTGCAAGCTTAGTAATGTGATTGAATGTATAAAAGAAGTTGAAATAATATCAAAAATAATATAACATAAAAATGTAACAAAAAGAATTAAAATACAAGCTTCTTTTTGTGCCAAAATATTATGCATTTCCATGAACTTTTTGAAGACCCCATGTATACTTGTAACATAAAGCAATATGGCAGAACTGAAACCAAATATATCAGTCCTATCAATAATACCGATTTATAAAACCTCTCTTCCCTCTCCCATTATCTCTCATATAATGATCTTATTTCCTTATTTCATTGAAATAGAAATATTTGTAAAAGTTCACAAGCTTCCACTATATCAACCCATTCACATTTGTGTGGTGATTTCAGTGTGGATCAATTGGCATAGCTTGATAATTGTCTATTTTCTTAGCAGGCTACTTTCTCCCATGCACTAGATCTAACCTTCCTCACCTACACAGAACATTAAACCATCTTCTCCCCTTCTCTTCTTCATTACCTCCTCTCTCCTGAACATTTCACATAAGCACATAAAGATGTGATCATTTCTATCTCTAGAAAGAAATCTCTTTCAACCACACTTTTCTCTCAAGCCACCATGCCATTTCTCTTACCTTTAGTACAACTCTTTGAGAGTTGCAGTCGCTGTTTCCAGTGTCTCTTCCCATTGTTCTTAACTCCATCTCTTATGGTGGTTACCTGTGGTAGCTAGCCTCCAAGATGGCCCCAGTGATCCCCACCTCCTGGTATTCATGTTCTTGTGTGGTCCTCTCCCACATCTTATCATGGTTGGTCTGTGAGGCCTACTCAATAGCGATAGTTATGAAAGTGATAGTTACAACTTCCCAAAGGTGGGATACAAGGAAAATTGTGGCTTCTGCACTGCTCTCATAGGTCACTCATTCTGAGGGATGCCAGTTGTTTAGTATGGAGCAGTGGCTGCCCACATCCACTGTAGTCACCAGGAATCTTTTTATTTCCTTTGCTTTTCATTGAAACAATTGCTTCTGAATTAATTTTCAAACTGTTTCCACCTGGATCACATTTATTGGGTATTTCTTTTAAGGGAACAATATTCATGTCTAGATGAAATGTTTCCCCAAATACATTAGTTTTTTCTGTAATCAGCATTTTGTGGTTGGAGAATATAATTTTTTATGATCAATTATTTAATTAGGTTCTTGGCAAAAAATCTAGAACACCAATTTGTGAGGATAAACTCCATTTGTAAGGGCAAACACGGATCACAGGTAGCCCTGGAGCTGAGGAACAGCTTTGATTTTTGGTAAAATTTATGAGTCCACCGCTTTCTGATCAATCTTGTGCTGCTCTGAAATCTTGTATTTCTCCTTCTCTGTGTCGATGATCTCACCTTCCTGGTGTCTGGGCTTCCACAGTTTCTTTTTCTTGAAGTAAGCATCGGTAAGGTGCTTTGGGATTTTTACTTTGCTAATATCAATTTTCGTGGAGGTGGCAATGACAAATTTCTGGTGTGTTCTACGCAGTGGAACTCGATTGAGAACCAGCAGTCCAGTTACAAGTAGCAAGTCACTGCTCAGCTGCTTCAGGAAAACCACTCTCTTGTCTCTGTGGCCTCCAGTGAGGATGATCAGAATGGTCCCAGGAGTGATGCTAGCTCGCAGCTTTCTCATATGCTGACTGAAGGATTTTTTGCCGTGGCTCAACAGCTTTCGAGGCACATTTTCAGTAGGATAATACCTAGGCATTTTGTGCAGTTTAACCACCCGGGTACCACCATTCTTGTCTCCACCAACTGGTTTTGTAACAGTCGTAAGAACCTTCTCCTCCTTTTTCTTTTCGATCCTGGATTTAGTGACAGTATTTCCTCTTGTACATGGCCTTCCTGGAATACATGGCAGACCGGGAGTATCTGCCGATGCCCCAGACTAGGACAGGGTTTCAGCTGCAACAGGCTTCCCCTTCTTGGGCTTTTTAGCTTTGGGGTCACTCACCCTTTTTAACCTCGCCATTGGCATCAGCCTTCTTGGCTTCAGGTTTCTTCTCCTTAGTATCCTGCTTTGCAGCCTTTTCGCCAGAGCAGAGAATATAGTTTGCCTCAAATGTTTGTCTTGCATTTTCTTGTCCTTCTCTAAGGCATCACCAACTTCTAAACAGAAACACAAGTAACAATTTGTGAGTCTGTATACATTTGCTATAAAATGAGAATTCCTTACAAATGCCTTGTAGTAGGGATCACACTTCAAACCCAATCTCTGAGAATTAAAAAATTTCAAGTGGAAATGTCTCCTACTCAGTTGATTGGGGGAAAACAGAAACAAAAATGAGAAAAAAATCACACACATCCATACCAGCCTGAATAAGAGGATGAAAGGAAGAGAAAACAGGCAAATAGTACAAGTACCTTTCAAAACCACAAATATACAGAGTGGAAAAAGTAAGACAGGCACAAGGAGTAGTACACAAAATATACTCAAAGTGTGGCTAACAGAGTGTTAAAGACAAGAGTTAAGTAAGCACTTAGAGAAAGAGAGTGATACAGTGAGATTAGGTAAAACAGGCTTCAGAAAGAGGGTTAGTATTATCAAAAAATGTAAGAGCAAATAAGTAAGTCTGAAATTTCTGCAGGCTCATGGGAACTCTGAAATCTGTGCAAAGAAAAACGTTAACGGAAAGTAAGATTGTGGGCTGAGCAGGGCCAGTACTAGAGGAAAGCTGAAATTCTGTCTTCTTACTGTGTGCTAGACACCTTGTCTGCCTCACCTTTGTTCAAAGCCTGGTGGGGTGAGAATGGAAAGTGAACTGAGTTATTTCTCAGTTAAATGATGGAAAGAAAGATATAAGGCAACTAGAAAGATCACACAAATCTAGCAAGATTGATTTATTTAAGGCAGCTCTATAAATGTCTGAATATAAATCTATGATTATGGTGGGTGAGGCAAGGTAGGCAACAGAGAATGCCACAGAAATAAAGTTTAGGGGGTGGAAAAAGGGACTTGGAGTCTGGGGATGGTAACTTAGTGGTAAAAATCTTCATATATTTTAGCTAAAGGGACATATCTATTTAGGAGAATGTTTTAGGCGTCTGTATCATGACGGCTATCTTCAACCAAAGTCCTAGAGTCTCTTAAAAAATAAAGTGACAAAAATGCCAACTATAATCACTGAACCCCCTGGAACTCTCATTTCCATGGTCTGCGTCTGCTCAGTTATTATGTACTTACCTGAGTACTGATTTGAGAATTCCTCTACTATCCATGGTCCTTCTCCTCGCTCCAATATGAAAATCACATCGGGTTTGCTAACATGACACCTGTTAATGGGAAATGACACAGAACTTGAACCAAGCTCTTTGCATTTCAGGGACTCTGAAGGATGAAGAAAGTACAGCTTCAGAACCATGCAGTGAAAATGCCCAGCACTGTCTCAGGAAAGCTAGAGCACTGTGCTGAAGGGAAGGGCACTGAGTACATACACAATTCTACTGCCAAAAGAGGCTTTAACCATATTGCTCTCCTAATAGACTGGGTTAAATAATTAATTTACAGAAGTACAACATGTTTCTGCAAAACAGAAGAAATGCATGATCTTTGCAGTTAAGCAGGGAAACCACACTCACCTACCGAGAGTAGATTGCTATAGTTCTCCAGCATCACATCTTTGTAGAGAAGCCTCTGAGTGGGGTCTAGTTGCTGCCATTCCTCCTGGGTGAAGTCCACTGTAAGGCCCTTGAATTAAACTGATCTCTGAAAGAATATGTTTAATCTGAGGTGATGAGAATTGAGGGGCATCAAATATATGGGGACATTACAGAGATCACTGTCATGGCTAACAGAAGCTGTATAGAGATACACTTGGTGGGAGGACAAAATATTAGAAATATCCTGTTATTGTATTCATTCTTAGAATGAATTTTTTAAAATGTTCTAAGTTTATACTATTTCCTGGAACTATTCTAATTTCTTGGATTACTACCTCACGTAAAATACTGACTATGCTCTCAAAGAGCAATTGTTCTGACAGGGTGACATAAATAGACACCTTAGTGAAGAGTAATGATGGATGTACACACAAGATAAAGGGAGATTACTAAAGGAGAATGCTAGTTCCATTCCATGTTATCAGCTTTACTTGAGTGAGTAATAACTTTAGTCTTAAAACACAGAGTGTGCGTTGTAGGACTGTGACCACTAAGAAATATACACAGGCATAAGACACACATGTAAAGGTCAATAACTACAAATATCTCTATATGAAAGAATAACGATAAGCTGAACAGAGGGCAAAGATTAGAGGGACCTTTTCTATAACAGTAACCTCAAAAGTTTTTAGATAGTACAACATGGTAAAACATTCTTGCACCTATGACTAACATGTATACTTACTTAGAAATTGTAATGCATTTCTTAGTTATTTTAAGTTACATATTAATATCACCAAAGCTTAATTATTTTAATTCTTTTAGCCAAAATACAAATGTCAACAGAAGGCCTGTGGATCCCTAGAGTGCTCTCTATCCTCCACTTTGGAAAGCACTGTTGTGAATAATGGAAATCTGTAAAGAGGTATTTATAAGCAAGTTTTGTGACCAAATTTGTATTTTAGGAGCAATGCTGTAGAGTATGGGGTCAGCAAACTACAGCCCATGGGTGAAATCTAGCCCCCGAGAGCCCTGGCCCTGCCATTCGCTTATACAGCATCCATGACTGTTGTCACACTACAACGGCGGTGTTAAGTAGATCTGACAGGGCCAGCAAAGAGACCAGAAAGCCCGGAAAGCCAAAAATATTATCTGATCCTCTGGAGACAATGCTTACTGTCTCCTACTCCAAAAATCTAGAAAACAACATAAAGGGTAAGTTAGGAGGAAGAAAACCATAGTGAGACATGATCACCATAGTGAGACATGATCACAAGTTCCAAAGAGGTTGGGAAGGAGGGAATCAATCTCACATGATGGGGAATGAAAGGAGCTGGCCACTAGCTGGTTCTGCAGTAGAAGTAATGTCCAGATGATTGTGCATGATAAGCTGGGGAGATGCTAGTGGTATAAGCTAATATTAGGAAAGCAAAACAACAACGAAAAAATTGAGCATAGAAAACTAATGCATCGGTCTACAGAATGCTGTGCTTAAAATGTTTGTAGAGCACACATGGAAATGTCCAACTAGAAGCTGTATGTTTACGTCTGAGGCTCTAAGAGAATATGGGGATTGGAAGAAGTATTTGAAAGCATAAATAATGAGGAAGGTCTCCATAAATTATGATAGGAGTTGTTTCCAGGCTATACTGTGAAGTGAAAAAAGTAAAGAACAAAAGAATGCCTATAGCATGCTACCTTTTACATAAGGTGATGACAAAAGAACATATAAATGTAACCGCTAGGTGTGCAGAAAAGGATACACGAGAAACTGGTTACCTTCAAGGGAGGGGTGGAAACAGATGTAAAGAATGAGAGAATGAGAAGTGACACTTCTCTAAATACATCTTTCTATTCGGTTCGGATTCTTAGATCTACCTCCAATAAATAAATAAAATTAACTAGGATATGGAAGGGAAATACCAAATAAAATACAAATAGTAACATATAAACCTAACTATATTAAAAATAAATAACATAACCAATGTGAAAAGGATGAGTAAGAAAAGAACTAATCAAAGTGGGGCCAGCAAGTGGTGTAGTGGTTAAGGTGCTGGACACTCCCACATGGCAGACCACAGTTTGAGTCCCAGACCTGGTGGCTTGCTTTCTCACTGTCCTCCTCTCTTTGTGTCTGTCTTTCTCTGGTCAAATTAAAATAAATGAATGAATAAAATTAAACAATTTTTTTTTAAAAAAAGAACTAATCAAAGTAACTATGGGGAACAGTATTTTGACTATTCTATAAGCCTAAGGATAAAAAGAACAGTATACAGTTACACTCAGGAAATTTTTTTTTTCCCCATGGGGTGATTCTTTTTGTTGTTTTGAAAAAATTATTTAATATTATTTATTTATTTTTTTGAATGTGCTATAGGGCACATGTAGTCACCAGAGAGAGACAGAGGGAGTGAGTCAGAGAGAGAAAGTGAGAAAGCAAGCCACCAGGGTCCAGGACTTGAACCATGGTTGGTGATGTGGGAGTCTAGCACCATTAAAACTACCTCATACGTATACTTGGATGAGTAAATATGTAGATAATGAAAGACAGTGTTCTGTCAGACAAATAAGTTATTTAAAAAGGGAAGACTAGAATGAACTCATAAAGTGTCAAGGTCATGAGACAAAAGGGGGCTGTCACTGCAAGAGGCTAAGGAGACATGACAACTAAATGCAGTGTGGGATCCTAGGCTAGATCCCGAAACTAAGAAGTAGATATTTCTCATTTAAATAAAATAGATAATTATATTAATGTTGATTAGCAGGTTTTGTTCACTATAGTACTGTGTTCAAAGATCAAGGAAGATTAGGTATGCTAGGAAAGTCAGGAGGGGATGCATATACTTTGTGTATGATTTTTCTAATTCTTTTGTAAGAACAAAACTAGGCAGTACTAAGTGAAATGCCTTCTCTACTTCTGCAGATACTTATGTATTACCCATGTTTTAGAACTGCTATGTTTAACCTCACTCGCAGGACTATCCTAGGTCCCCTCACTCTGCTGTTTCTTAAACCTGACATACTTTATATAACAATTCAGTCACACCCTTCCTTATATCAGTTTATCTCCTATACATAAACTAGAAGTAGTCCTATTATCCAGTTATTTCTTCCATGAATTACTTCTTGTAAAGATGCCATAAACTTCCTGAACATAAACAACATCTTAGAATTACAGACACAACAATGGGGAGAAGGTCTTAGTTATGAGGGGAAAAATGGCAAAATATTAAAAGCAAAAGATCAGTGAGAGGGACCAGCAGGTGGCATGGTGGTTAAGGCACTGGACACTCCCACATGGCCAACCATGGTTCAAGTCTCAGACCTGGTGGCTTGCTTTCTCACTTTCCCTCTCTCTCTCTGTCTCTCTCTGGTCAAATGACAATAAATAAATAAATAAATAAATAAATAATTCTTAAAAAAAAAAAAAAGGCATGGAACTCAAGAGCCAGGAAGTGGGAAGCCTTCATTAGAGAGTCCTGTAGTCACTAAAGAAGGTTCAGCTATACTTAACAGCATAAGGTTTGAAACATGAACACTGAATGTGTTCACTTTGTGAGAAATTGAATGGTGATTATAACAAAACAGAATAAAAATATCCTTTTCTCTTGGTGACTCAGGTCAACCCTGTAAACAACTATGTAAATGAAATTATCATCCATTTACAACAGAGAAGAGTTCATAGAGTCAGAGAAAATAAGACTGCCCACAATGAATGAATAAATAAAATGATCAAGAGATGCATTTTAGGGGAGGGGTCATACTGTCAAATGTAACAAAGAATCTGGTAAAGCACAGACTGGATAATACCCATTGGATTTGAAAATATTTAGAATACTGCTAACTTTTTATTTAATTATTTAAAATTTTTATTTATTTATTTATTTATTTATTTAGATTTTTGCCATAAGCATGTACATCCCCCAGATAGGGAGAGAGACAGAGAGAGAGGAAAAGTAACAAATCACTTCCCGGGGGGATGGCCATGCCATAATCCCTTCATTTTCCTCCCAGGATCTTGGGCATGCACTCACATGCGCGTGGCATGAGTTTCAAGCCACTTGGTCTGGGACTTGAGCCACAGATGTAGGGCGCGTGCGCTCGCCAGACAGACAGAGAGAGACATAGAGACAGAAAGCGAGAAATCACCCCCCAGGGGGGATGGTCACGCCGCAATCCCTTCTCCTCCATTCTCCTCTCGGGATCTTGGGCACACACGCACACGCGCCCGGCGTGAGTTTTAAGCCACCGGGTCCGGGACACGAACTGTGGTCCACTACGTGGGAATCCAGGGACATAGCCATTACGCTAACTGCTGGTTCCCCACACCTGGCATGTTTTTAAGCTGCCAGGTCTGGAACTCAAACCAAGGAGTTAGCCATGAGACACACCACCTTAACCACTATGCCAACTGCTGGTCCATGCAAGTGCTTTCTTGTACCGAACAGATCCATGGGCATGGTGGAGTCAATACAAGACTACATGAAGTGAGTTAAAATGGGACAAGCAAATAAAGCTACTTTACCTACAGAACATAATATTAAATTGTTCCTTGTACAATCTATTTTAAAAGTACAGGTGGAGGAAATAGTTACAGAAAATTAGCTGAGGAACATGCACTCTATTTATTCTAGGATTTATCCCTGGCTCCTAGGGAGCCACCAGAATGCTGCCCACATGGACGACAATGAATTGGCGTCCTGTAATTACTGTGCCTTGCCTAGGAATACAGGAAACCCACTGCACTTCATTCACAGCTGTTACTGGCCAGTAGGCAAAGCTGTCACAGTATCACTTATTCAAACATCACTAAAGTAAATGTTTAGCTATAAATGACAATTATAGCAATAGTCCATGTAAGGTCTATCATCTATTGTCTGGGCCTTCCTGGGACAACCTGAATAAGTCTATAGGGATATAAGATTTCTGTACGTTTATACCAAACTTTTCAGTATTGATCTGATACTCCTTTCTGATGCTAAATTTTATATATTTCTACTTTTTCATCTGAATGTACAAACTAGTATAAACATTTTCAAAGCCACTATAAAATGTGGAAAGTAATCCCTAAGCAACTTACCTGGGATTTGTTCATTTTCAGGTGTGCTTGAGAAAGGGACAAGAGGGGTGAAAGTAGAGCTGGGTAAGGAAGAAAGAGGAATGGAATCATGAGACAACTGGCTCACAGAGCGTTTTACAATAACCTGTCAAGATAGCCACACACGGGACCAGCAGCTAGTGTAATGGCTATGTCATTGGACTCCCACGTAGTCGACCACGGTTCGCGTCCCAGACCCGGTGGCTTAAAACTCACGCAAGGCACGTGTGCGTGCATGCCCAAGATCGCGAGAGGAGAATGGAGGAGAAGGGACTGCAGTGTGGCCATTCCCCCAAGGGGTGATTTCTCACTTTCTGTCTCTCTGTCTCTCTCTGTCTGGCGAGCGCACGCGCCGTATAGCAAAAAACAAAACAAAACAAAACAAAAACAAAAACATAAACCACCTCTCTCAAAAAAAAAAAAGATAGCCACACACCCATTTAAGAAAATGGTCCTTTGACCAATGTGATACAGGAAACAGGCTGAAGAAATATCCACTTGCCCATTTTCAGTTTTGAAATGATCACATAGAGCCTTTCTGAGTGAATGTAAACACATTTTCTACTAAATTATGGTCAATTTCAGTCTTTGGAAAAAAAAAAAAAACCCTGAGTTCAATAATAGGAGACTGGGGACCAGCAGCTGGCATAATAGCTGTGTCACTGGACTCCCATGTAGTTGACTGTGGTTCGAGTTCTGAACCCAGTAGATTAAACTCACACCAGGTGTGAGTGCATGCATGCCCAAGGTCCTGAGAGGCGAAGGGATTGTGGTGTGGCCATCCTCCCTGGGTGGGGGGGAGGGATTTCTCACTATATGTTTCTCTTTTTGGCGAGTGCATGTGCCCTACAGCAAAACCCTCTCCAAAATAATAATAATAAGAAGAAGACTGAGTCAACAAAAACAAATATATGTAAACTCTGGAACACTGTTTCAGCATTAAAACTCATTCTAGTATTAAAATATTTCCATTTGGCATGGCCAAATGGTGATATTACAGTTCTTATATATTTTCCTGGTAACATGTTTAAGCTGTCTGAGATCAGAGATTCCAGAAAAAAGTAATACAAGTGCTTCAAGATATTAATTTTTTGGCTGTTTGATCTTAGTCTTAGTTTCCAAGAGAGTCTTTTGCTAAGAAACTTGCTTTCACTTAAATGTGGTAGAGAACAAAGCCCCAACCTGAGAATCAAGAGATTTAAATAGTTTTTAAAGCTTTATCTTTACCTCCAGTGTATGATTTTATAAGGGGGGGAATGTGGTCCAGCACTTTGGGAAACCCAGGAACGGCGAGGTCTCTTCTGTGCATGTGTCTCTTCTGGTTCTCCAGTTCTCTACCTGGACGCACTTCCGGTTCTTAATTCAATAAGCCAAATGTGATGGACATGGTTTGAGCAGCTCAGAATAAACAGGGTGGAGAGTGAGGGGAATGACATGCATGCTTAGGAAGTGATGGGAAGTCATTTCCTTACTTATGGCCGGTACTATATACTTCCCTCAAGTACCACCACCGCGTATCCTCTAACGAAGTGTCATTCACTTCCTATCACATCTAGACTGCCCAGTCCTTTCAATTGCGGCTCACATTCTTCTTGAAGTTGAACTGAAGCTTTGCTCGGTAATCGATGGCTGCAGGTCCAAGGGCGTCAGTGAAGCTACTGGAATCAGATTTTAGCCACTGGGTGCACACACCTGTCACTGTCACCGAGCGCCTTCTTCAGACAAGAGGGCCACAGAAAGAGCCCACCCTGACCCGAGGGCCGCGCCCAGCCCTTCCCTCGCGTCTCCCCGCGACCACCGGAAACCCACTGCGGGGCCCCGCTCCCTCGGACCCCGCGGGCTGGGAGCTCGCCGCCCGTCCTTTCTCTAACTCGTGGACGCACCCGCTTCGCATCCAGTTTGCGCGAAGATCGCAGAGCCTTTGCCCCGGAAGAACTCGGGGAACCGGAAGTGTGTCCAGGTAGAGAACGCCGAAAGGCACATGCGCAGAAGACGCCTTGCGGTTCCCGGGTTTTCCGAAGGGCGCTCGCGGTGTCGGACCTCATTGACCGTGAGGCGCCGAGGCCTTTCTGCTACTTAATTACGGGCTTTCGTTGGTTGCTGAATCATCAGCGTACACACGAGAACAATAGTTATATCAAGTTTATATTAGTTTCACAGAAGGCTGTAGATGAGAAAGGAAAATTACAGACCGTGAAAGAAATTCCAGCGGCATGCGCTATTGAGGGAACAGTAATAAGGACCTGCAGATAAGAGTAAAAAATAATTACTGCTTTCTAAAATTACACGAGAAGTACATGACAGTTGAGGATAAATCAGGATAGCTCCAAAGAAAATAGTCTATTAGACATAATCCCAATTCCCGGAGATACCTGAATTTAATATAGTGCATACCCTTTTGACACTTTTACAAAGAAGAAATCGTGTGGATATAATAATTTATGATTTATGTCAATTAAATATATAAAGTTAATACACTTTAATAAAGCCTATTATCTTAATATAATGTGATAACATAAAAATAGCTTTTCATCACAAAAGATAAATACATATATGTATTGGATGCATATTTAATGAATAGAGCTATACGAGTGGTCTTCAAAGTAATAGCTGACAAAGTTATGATATATTACTATCAAACTCCACAAAAGAACAGTTAGCAACTGTGGTAGTTAGTCTTCAAAGATGGCCCCAAAAGAACCAAACTTCCCAGTATTTAAGGCTTGTGTATTTCCCTCCCACACCGGATTTAGCTGACTTTGTGACTCTTTTAAAGCAAAACAGTGCATCAGAAGTGACACTGTGCCTATTCCAAAAAATAAGCCTTATAAAGTCCTGGCAGCTTCACCTTTACCCAGCTATGTTGTTGGAAAAACCAAGAGGAGATATCAATAGATGTGAGAGGTTCTAAGACCACACGGAGCAAGGCCCATTTGTTTGTTTCCCAGCAAACTGACGATGACCAGCTTTCCAGCCATCTTTGCCAAGACATCAAACATAGGCATGAGCCATTAATGAACAGTCCAGGCCAGTTAAGTCCCTGGGTAACTTCGGTTCCACGTGGAATTAGTGGAGCAGAGCCACTCAGCTATTCTCAATAAACATATAGACTACATGAAGTAATAAATTTTCTTGTTTTAAGGCACTAAATTTGGGGTGGTTTGTTATCCAGCAAAAAATAGCCAAGAATACTCAAAAAAAGATGATTTCCATGAATATTATATGAAAAGGTGCCACTTCAAAGCTGAGAAAGATTTACTGTTGAATGGGTTCTTGAAAAACAGTGTCATTTGATTATGTTATATAAAAATGCTTATAGCTCCTGGGTTACAGAGTTTATTAGGGAGGCAATCCAGGACAAGTTATTAACCACCTGAACTAGCACACTAAGGTTAAACCCATTTCCTACATTACAATACATATATTTAACAGAGATACATAATTTGAAACTTAAAAACCAAACTATTAGGGCAAGTGATATTTTGCATCCCTAGGTAGGGAGGTAAGATGCCATAGGTACTATAGAGGAAATATTGACATATTTGGCTATAAAGAACTGAAAAATTCTTGCTTTCAGGAAAAATAGATTTAATAAGCAAATAAGTGGAGAAAATATTATTGTTTTATGTCTTTGAGGATTAAAACAGATTGTGTTAACAGTTATTTTAGAATTCAGTAAAGATGAAGATTTTTTAAATAAAGATATGAACAAGACAATAAATATAGAAGACTTATCATTGAACCATAAATTTATACAATATATAAAGCAATGGCCAATAATGCTATAGAGCAAAACAATGCAAAAAAAAAGGCCCAGTCTCAGTGGTACAGGCGGCAGCATACTGAATGCTGGGAGTCAAATGGGTAACTCTGGGTTCAGATCCCCTGTTGGCTCTCTCTGGATCCATGTGTGTGTGCCCCAAATCCTGACAAACAGGAGGACAAGAGGAAGGACTGCGGGAAGGGGATCATGGCATGAGGAGACACTGTCGAGAATCTTTCACGTGCACTTGCACACACTCTATCATGAATAAAATAAACTTGTTTTAAAAGCTAAAAAAAAATTAATTACATTCAAAATGTTGGCAGACCAACTTGGCAAAGATGAAAAGGAACAATAAAATATTGGCATGAATTTGAAAAAATGTTTTTCCTAGACAGATTGGGTAGGAATATAATTCCTGTGACACTTGTAGGAGATGTTCTATACCCAAATTGAAGATCTAATGCCCTTTATTCCACTTTCAACAATTCAGCTTCTAGAAATATCTTTTTAAAAAAAATTGAACCAGTGTGAAAAGATGTACATTAAGAACATGTCATATAATGGCTTTAATCATAATAACTTTTTTAAAAATGGAGAGAAGCAACCTTACAGAAGGGGCTTAAAGGAGGTCTTGTGCTGACTCAGGGGTCCTTTGAGCCACACCATTGATGTAAAGTTTAAGGTGGAGTCCATTTACAATTTTTTGGATGTACTATGTGAATTATGATATGATTTTCAGTTCCAGGTATAATTATTTGTATTAATATGATTTCTTGAAAACATAATTTTTTGCCCATCACTTTGAGATGTTACCTGAATTTTTACCTAACTCTTGTCTATACATGTTCTTACATGGAACTAGCACTTAACTGTTTTATAAATTAAAAATTTTCATACATATTAACATTTCTCTTTTTAAAAAACTTTAGTATTCTGTTAATGAAAACAAAAGGTAAAGAAATAAAAAATATTTAATGCACCAAGATGTACCACTTTTTTGATTAAAGAAAACAAATTTTCCTGTTCATCAGAGAAAATAGTATATATGTCCATTCATTCAAATTTAGGTGTTTTCAAATGTTTTTCTGCTATTATAAATGGAAACTTTCTTCTATATTATTTTCATTGCCATGGAAGAATCAGTTGAGGTTATAAAACAGTATTGTTGAAATTCACTTTGTGCTTATTTAAAATATAATTTTAAACATCTAACTTTAATATCTTGCCTTTTTTTTTTTTTTTGAAGAGGTTTTTGCTATAGGGAGTGTGCACTTGCCAGAAAGACAGAAACAGAGAGACAGAAAGTGAGAAATCACCCCCCAGGGGGGAATGGCCACGCTCCAGTCCCTTCTCCTCCATTCTCTTCTTGGGATCTTGAGCACGCACGCACATGCGCCCAGCATGAATTTAAGCCACTGGGTCCGGGACTCAAACTATGGTCAGTTACATGAGAGTCCAGCGACATAGCCATTACGCCAACTGCTAGTTCCAGTCTTGCTATTTTAGGTGTCGAAAATTGTGAATCAACCATGAAGCATAGTCATTTTCCGAAGGGAGATAACAGATGATGTGTTTTCTTCTTTCAATCTGCATTTTATGATTTATTTACAATTTTCTTTAATTAGTTGGACGTGTTGATTATATATTGCTGTGTAACAAATTGCCCTAAAACCTAGCAGCTTAAAACAATTATTTTAATTATTTTCGCAAAATGTCTGGTGGCAAGGAATCTGGACATGGTTAATGTGGGTTCTCTACATTGGGATTTCTCACCACAATCCAGGTGTCAGCTGTGCCTGCAGACATTTCCAGGCCACCCACAGGAAGACGAGCTTCCAATCTCACGCCCATGGTTGGTGGCAAGATTCAGTTCCTTGCCACCTGAGCTCCTCCGAAGAAAGGGCAGCTCATGACGTGGCAACCTGCTTCGTCAGAACAAGCAAGAGAAGAGCCAGAGAGACTATGAGTGAGGTGAAAGTCATGGCCTGGTACAACTCGGTTCCAGACGTGACACTCCATCACTTTCGCTATACTTTATTGATTAGAAGACCTTGTGTTCTGCCCACATTTAAGGAGAGGGATGGCACAAGGGCATAAATATCAGACTCGGATCTCGGGAGCTATTTGACAACTAAACGTTTGAAGGGCTAACGCGGACAGTAATAATAACAATAGGTTTTGCATTCCCATGACGGGCTTAGTTGCTCTCAGGTTTTAATCTCTTACTATAGCACGAGGTTATCTTTAACAAGTGCTGAATTTGATAGACATGGCTGACACAGGTCGCCAAATAGTGATCAAGTACAGGAATTCCAGGGACCAGTAGCTAGCATAATGGCTATGTCGCTGGTCTCCCATGTAGTCAACCGCTGTTCGAGTCCTGGACCCGGTGGTTCAGACTTATGCCAGGCACGTGTACATGCGTGCCCAAGACCCCAAGAGGAGAATGGAGGAGAAGGGATTGCAGTGTGGCCATCCCCCCTGGGGGGTGATTTCTCGGTTTCTGACTCTCTGTCTGTCTCTGTGTTTCTGGTGAGCGCACACGCCCTATAGTGAAAACCTCTCCAAAAACAGAAAAAAAAAAGAAAAAAGTACAGGAATTCCAGGTCGAAGGAAGGTGTGGATGGGTTTGATCACAGATACAAAAAATGAGCAATGGGGCACTAGAAGAGGAGAAAGAAGGTGTGGGGAGAGGGAGCCTGGAGAGGAGGAAGAAAAATGGAAAAGAAAACAGACAGCAGACATTGGATACGCTAGTTTCTAAGGTGGCCACGTGGTGGCAGCATTAATGCAGGTCAGTGCCTTCTGCTGCCTAGGATGAACTTTGTCGCCCGGCCATGAAGTCTCAGTGTCTGTGGCTGCCAAGTAAAGCCGACCTGGCTGACAGGGGCTAAGGAGGACCCAGAAAGGTCCCAAATACAGCAAATCATGTCACTTCTCCCTGTGCTGTTCACCTGGGTCAGGCCATTTGCGGTAGACATTTG